CCTGCACCCAAACTCGAGCCTGGAGCCCACACCCCCTCCCATACTCTGAACTCCTTAGCCCCAGCCTGGAGCCTCCTCCTGCACCCCAACCCCCCCACCCATAGCTTGCACCCCCAGCCGCAACCCACATCTCCTTCCACACCTCAACCCTGTGGCCCTGCCAAGTGAAAATGAGAGAGTAAATGAGGGTGGGAGTGAGCGAGCCATGGAGGGAGGGGGCGTGGCCTCAGGAAGGGGTGGAGCAGGGCAGTGGCCTCAGGGCAGAGGCAAGGCAAGGGTGTTCGGTTTCCTGAAAAAGAAAGTTGGTAACCCTAGCGAGCGGCCAGGCCAGGGGAGCCAGCGGGAGGGCGGGGGGTGGCTAGTGGGGTGTTCTGGGAGTGCTGTAATCTAACGGCTAGGCCGTAACCCTGGCCAGAGGACATAGAGAGTGTCCCCTCCCCCTCACAGCACTCACAGGGCAGTGGGGAGATGCCACAGACCCATAGGGGCTGTGCTGTGCCCCAGCTTGTAAGGAGTCCCTTGGGAGGACCCCTTCATGTTGCCAGACCCCCAAGGGGTCCTGCTCTTCCACAAGGGTAGGCCACATGGCCTCCTAGCCTGAGCCTTGGATTCTGGCACTCCTGCATAAGTCTACACGGCAAGCAGAGCCCTTGGCAGCACGTCTCAGAGCCTGGCTCTACATTCGTGGGCTGGAGGATTTGCGCTACGCTGCTAAAAGCAGCTGTGTAGACATGGGTGCTCAGGGTTTCAAGTCCTCTGCCCTCCCTAGACCTGAGCACCCACATCTACACAGCTAGTCTCAGCTCCAAGGCCTGCCAGAGCTCCATGCTGCAGGCCAGTGCTCCCCAAATGTTTTACGTCACACCCTCTCTTACCCTCAATGTAATCTGCCTGTGCCCCACCCCCCATTGCCTCGTGGGATCTGCAGCATGTTCTCTTTGCTGGCCAGGCCATGCTGCACTGCTGAGAGCAGTAGGGTTGCCAGGCATCCGGGAGCCAGGGCCAGGAATGGGGGCACGGTTGGGGCTGGGAGCCAGGCTGGAGCCAGACCGCAGTTTGGGGTTGGTAGCCGGTGCGGTCGGAAGCCGAGGGCTGAGGCTGGAGCTTCAGCTGTGGCCAGGAGCCAGGGGCTGTGGGTGAGGGCAGGGGGGCAGGGTCAGGAGCCAATGCTGCAGCCAAGCCAGGTGCCAGAAGCCGGGGCTGGGACTGGGGGCAGGGTTGGAACGGAGCTGAGGGCAGAGCAGGACTGGGTGGTGCTCCCTGCCCGGACCCCACTGTGCCCCTGAACGCAAAGTTTGGGGATCTCTGCTGTAGACCCAGGCTCTGGGACTTGCTGCCATGGGTTTCTGCTTGCTGTGTAGACGTATCCCACTTTCTCCCTGTGAGTGCTGTCCAGCAAGTCCAACTGTGAGTGATTCCTAGTCAAAGACTCTGACTCCCTCAGGGATCAATGCCCCTCAGCAGGTATCTGCAGTGACTCCATTAACCCGTTTCAAATCAGAGGCGGGTCCTGGTCACCTGGCATGCCGCATGGAATGGTCTTTGGCAGTGCAGCAAAGCAACAGTTCAGACATAGTCCAGACAAGGCGGCACCCGGCTCCCTTGGTCTTGCTGCTGTAGGCTCCATCCTGCCTTGCCCTCTCTAGCTGTTTGTTTGTCTTTGTCCCAGGTAAGAGACTGTGTTGGATAAAAGTAATAATCAGTACATTTATATTATGGGGGAAAGTATGAGAAAGGGAAAGCCCAGAACAGACCCCAGATTTGGCCTGACCATTAGAAAGAAATATGCTTCTCAGCCTGACTGAATCTGTGCTAATTGAAATATGCCTGACAGTTTACAAGGTCTGTGTTAATTGCAGAAGAACATTCGGAGACAAAGAGTCTGTTCTAAAGTAATAAGGTAACTCTAGGACAGCTGCTGTTACAACTCTGTTCTTCTCTGGAACTCAGGAATAAGATTTTTTAACCCCCCCACACTTTTGCATTCTTATCTTGCTTGTTTTCTTCTCGTGTGTAACAAGTGGTATGAATGGACTTACTGAAGTGTGTCATGCCCCAATGGTTTTAGAATGGTTATGTTAAAGAATGAATAGGTAATAAAATGTAGATGTGATAGGAAACATGTTAAGGGAAATGGAGAGTGATTGCAGATGGATGTTTGATGGATAATAAAAGGTTGAAGTGCCAACCCTAGAATAAGAAAAACAACTACCCAGGACCATTTGGCCAAAGAATGCACTGGGTGAGATAGTCCGATAACCCCAAGGGCACACTGGAATCCACCCCCACAACCGCCCCAAGGACGGGGGCTGAAAAACCAAAGAACAAGATAACAACAAGCTGTCATTGCTGTGCCATCTGCGTGATTGACTATCACTTCAAACGTGAGAATAGTGTTTGATTATCACTTCAAACGTGAGAACAGCATGACAAGGCAAACCCTATAGACTTGTATGAGGATAAATCCCTATCAAAACAGATCCGGAAGACTGAGGACTTTGGGTCCGGTTCTGCAACCAACTTCCAGGAGCATCAGATGCGCATCTGACAAGGCCCCACTCCCTCCTCGTGTCCAGGCCACCTGGCCAGTGACTTGGCACAACCAACTCTAAGGCTGGTAACTATAACAACAGCCTTGCAGAACTTGTGTGTGTGTTTGAATGAATGTGTAAGTGAATGGAATGTTATAGCTATAACTGATTGCTGACTCAGATTCCTTCTGTATTCACAATAAACATGGCATATTGCCTTATCCCTTGAATAAGATCCTGCTGGTTTTTATTTTGTAAGTATAACAACTGGGGAAGCCAGTTCTCCTCGTGTCTCCTGTCACTGCTGCCCATTGGCCTTACTGCAAAGCTGTGCTAAGATCACATGTTCACCCTGGGAACCCCCACTCATAGGCACCAAAAAAATTCAGAATTTTCAAATATTATGCACAGAATTTGATGCAGAATTCCCTCAGGAATATGGAGCGCTGTACAGCTGTGATGGTGGGACTGTGAAGGGGGTGCTGGACAGTAGGGGATCTGTGGGTGGGGGAACTGGGCAGGGGGTATGGTGTGCAGGGTGCTGTGCAGTTGTGGTGGGAGGGCAGCGGGAGGGGTCTCTAGGCAGGGGGTGCTGGGCATAGGGATCTGTGGGGGAAGTCTCTGGATGAGGGGGCACTGGTATAAGGGCAGGGCATGGGGCAGTGTGGAAGGGGCAAGCTGGCAGCACAGGGCTGGGTGGGCCAGGGTATGTCTAGCAGTTTTGGGTTTGTAAACAGTGCCCTTGTGCTGGGTTGAGTGGGGCCACTCCCATTGTGCCTCATTGCCCCCAACTGGCCCCTCGCTCTGCGGACCGCCCCCCATCACATGCCCTATTTCCCTAATGGGGGCCCACAAATATGTTTGGTGCCGGGCCCACAAAAAGTCAATCCGGCCCTGTTTCTTGTGCCTGGCCTGGCCTGGCCTGCCCTTACCCGCTGAGTCCCTCTGCCATGTCTGGAGTCTCCCTGTCACCCAGGCCTGACCATGCCACCCTGCACAGCTACCTGGTGTGTGGCTGAAGCCTGTAGCACAGGCGAGGTGATGTGCAGCATGGTTGGGAAGCTGGGAGCAGCTGCAGCCCCCACCGAGAAATTCCAGATTCCGAAAACTCC